ACTCAAAATTTTACAGTGCTATCTAAAATAAAGAGGTTTTTTCAACTTCTCAAGAAATTTGCACTTTCAAAAGAAGAACAAATTAGATACAATCAATAGTGCTGGCAGTAACGTGATAAGCGGTTGCAATGTTTCCACTCACGCTGTTTAAAACTGATTTGTTGAACTCTATCTAAAGTTACAGAATAAATGGCGTGTTGTCTGTACATGGGCTCAGATGTTATCAAAAATAGTGTGTAAATAATGGTACAAAATACAACTCACACAGTCTCCAAAGCAGACATCTCAGAGTACCATGCCATGGGTCATTTCTAGTTCCCTAAACATTTTAAAGGGACACTTAGTGCTAGGAACACAAACATGTATTTCTAACGCTCAGGGTCAGACTGGGAAAAAATACAGCCCGGGCATTTTTCAATCTCAGCGTCCCCCTGTGCGAAAGGGGCGGGGCTGGAGAGGGTGTGTTTTGTCATCACTAATGACAAGCACACCCCCTCTTAAACTGAGCATGTTGGTTCAATGTGCAGAGCCCTGCTGTGAGCTCTAGCATGAGAAAAAGGCCCTGTATTTGTTCTGCACAGTACAAGCAAATGTAACTAGAGCTACCAGTAGTCTGCAACTGGGGTGGGCGGAGTAACTGTTATTTATTTATATAGCACATTTAATTGCAACGTTGTTGCCCAAAGTGCTTCACAGTTACATTAACCCATAAAGGACTGGACTGTTTTTGCGATGTTGTACGTTTGCGACCAGGCCTCTTTTTACACTTTTCTGGTGTTTAGCTGTAATTTTACGCTCTCATTTACTGTTCCCATACAAATTATATATATTTTTTTTTAGGACAAAAGGGGCTTTCTTTACATACCATTATTTATATAATCTCTTGTATTTTAATTTAAAAAAAAATGAAAAAATATGATGAAAAATTGAAAAAAATACATGTTTTTTAACTTTTACTTGAAAAATATTTTACTCATCTACAAAAGCGAATGAAAAAAAATGCTAAATAGATTCAAAATTTTGTCCTGAGTTTAAAAATACCCAGTGTTTACGTGCTTTTTTTTTTTTTTTTTGCACGTTATAGGGCTATAGGTACAAGTAGGATATGGCGGTTTCAAAACAAACATTTTTAAAATGTATCAATAGTGACAATTTAACACTATTATCTGTCATAAATCTCTGGAAAACACTCCACATGTATATATATTTTTTAAAGTAGACAACCCAGGGTATTTATCTAAGGATATTTTGACACTTTCTGTGCAGCCATTTTACCACTAGTCTTTGCCAAACTTTGCATAGGTAGTTTTTTTTTTCACATACATTGCAATATAATATAATATTATAAACTTACAGATCCTGTTATGTCTTGCTGCCAAAAAACACACTAATATATGTTCAGCAACATCTCCCGAGTACAGTGATACCACCCATGCAACTTGTTGAGTTGTTTGGCAGCTAAAAGGCCACATTTGGCAGGTGCGCATATCCATTTTTCAACTTGGAATTTTGACATGTAGTCAACCTGCGCACATGTCCTATTTGGGACATTTGTAAGGCCGGCCAATGTATTTTACCCCCACCAAACCATATATTTTTGGAAGGTAGACACCCTAGGGTATTTCAAATGGTGGTTTTTTAACACTTTCCATGCACTAATTCTACCACCAGACTTTGTCAAACATTTAGGTAGTCATTTTTGTGTGTGTGTTTTTTCACACACATTGTACTTTAGGCATGAATTAATAGATCGTGTTATGTGTCACTGCCAAACAACACCCCAATATGTGTTCAGCAACATCTCCTGAGTACAGTGATACCACCCATGCATAGGCTTGTCGGATTGTTTGGGGGCTAAAAGGCCACATTTGGCAGGTGCACATATCCATTTTTCAACTTGGAATTTTGACATGTAGTAAACCAGCGCCCCTGTCCTATTTGGGCCAATGTATTTTACCCCCATCAAACCATATATTTTTGAAAAGTAGACAACTCACGGTATTTTAAATGGTGGTAGTTTAATACTTTTCATTCAATAATTCTACCACCAGTAGTGATGTCCCGAACGGTTCGCTAGCGAATAGTTCCTGGCGAACATAGCGTGTTCGCGTTCGCAGCCGATGGCGAACATATGCGATGTTCGGTCCGCCCCCTTTTAATTTACTAATACTAAGTAAAAATTACTTAGCATTAGTAAATTGTGCCCCTACTCACAATACCGCGAGTAGGGGCATGTCTATTAAACAGTGAGCAGCCTGTGGCTGCTCACTGTTTAAAAAAAAAAGGTTCCTAAATACTAATAGGGGGGGGACCTATTGTCCTCCCCCCGGCCCCCACCCCTGAGCGGTGGGTGGGGGCCCTAAAAATACCAATAGGGGGGGAACTATTGTCCGTCCCCCGGCCCCACCCCTGAGCGGTGGGTGGGGGCCCTAAAATGAACAATAAGGGGGGGACCTACTGTCCCCCCCCCACCCCTGCACGGCGGGTGGGGGCCATATTGATAATGAGGGGGGACCTAATGCCCCCCCCGGCCCCCACCCCTGCGCGGCGGGTGGGGGCCATATTGATAACGAGGGGGGTGGACCTACTGACCCCCCGGCCCCCACCCCTGCACAGCGGGTGGGGGCCATATTGATAATGAGGGGGGGGACCTACTGCCCCCCCGGCCTCCACCCCTGCACAGCAGGTGGGGGCCATATTGATAATGAGGGGGGGGACCTACTGCCCCCCCGGCCCCCACCCCTGCGCGGCAGGTGGGGGCCAAATTGATAATGGGGGGAGCTACTGCCCCCCCTGGCCCCCACCCCTGGGCAGCGGGTGGAAGCCACAAAGATAATGAGGGGGGGGACCTACTGTCTTCCCCCCCCGGCCCCCACCCCTGGGCGGCGGGTGGGGGCCACAAAGATAATGAGGGGGTGGACCTACTGTCCTCCCCCCCCGGCCCCCACCCCTGGGCTGCGGGTGGGGGCCCTAGGTTAATCCATCCAATCACAGTGCTCTGTGTCATTTTACACAGCATGGGGAAATTCCAAAGAACTTTCCCACGCTGTGTAAAATGACACAGAGCACTGTGACTGGATGGCTTGAAATCCATCCAATCACAGTGCTCTGTGTCATTTTACACAGCGTGGGAAAATTCCAAAGAACTTTCCCACGCTGTGTAAAATGACACAGAGCACTGTGATTGGATGGCTTTCAATCACAGTGCTCTGTGTCAATCAAGCCATCCAATCACAGTGCTCTGTGTCATTTTACACAGCGTAGGAAAGTTCTTTGGAATTTTCCCACGCTGTGTAAAATGACAAAGAGCACTCTGATTGGCTTAAACCCACTAATCAGAGTGTTCTTAGCCTAATTGCAAGGCGTGGCAAGGCTTTATAAGCCTTCCCCCGCCCTGCAGAGCTTAGTCTGCGCGGAGCCCTCCATGGGTGAAGATGGATTATTTTTTTGCGCTCTGGTTTTTTCTTTTTCGTCGGGTTTTTTTTTTGCGCTCTGGATTTTTATTTCATTTTCAATTCGACGGTTATGATGGTTTTTTATTTGGCCTTTTTTGGGGCTGAAAAATGAAGATTTGAGAAAAAAGAAGACGTTGAATGGTAAGTTTACTTTTATTTTACAGGTTAGTTATTTTATTCCCCCCTCACTATTTTTTAGGGAGAGGGGGGTAGGTAGGGACTTTTTATTTGGGGGGGGAGGGGGTGACTAGGGGCTAGGGGACAAGGTTTAAGTTTATGTGGACCGCATAAAAACTTATAAACTTAGGTTTATTTAGAAAAGTACAGTATAAAAAAGTTGCCTGACACTGGATGTCCTCACACTCGTAGGGCTTCAAAGTAAACCCCCCTTAATCTAATACACTGCCCCTCCTCCCTACATTCTAATTGAATACACTTCCCCTTCCCCAATTTAATACACTCTCCCCCTCCACTCTAATGAACTGTCCCTCTCCCTCCCCCAAATTAATACACTGCACCCATCCAACCACTCTAATACACTGCCCCCTACCTCCCCCAAATTAATAAACTTCCCCCCTCAGTCAAATTAATACACTGCCCCTCTCCTAAATGTAATACATTGATCCCCTCCCTCCCCCAAATTAATACAGTGCCCCCTCCCTAAAATGAATACACTGCCCACTCCCTTCCCCAATTTAATACACTTTCCCCTCCCTCACTGAAATTAATACACTGCCCTCCCCTCCCCTCCCCAATTCCCTAATTTAACATACTACACAGAAAGGTTCCCCAAGTCCCTCTTATACTACCTTAAGATGCGAGCAGTGGGGCGTGGCTAACCACCGAGCAAGATGGACGTCTGAATCTTTGCTCCGGCACCTGGGCATACAATCCATTCCAATCTGAGCATATAAAGTCCCAAAACAACTATGTCACAAAATAAAACTAAGAAGGGTTCTGCCAAGGCAGAAAAACTAAACTTTTGTGGCCAGAAACAACCACCTGCGACCCTGGCCACGCAGGCCTCAACTACCAATGGAGGAGAGGAATCAGAAGACAGCAATGGCATGCCCGATCTAGACACCAGAGCTAAGCCGGACCAAAAATGGATCTAAAACAAGCACTTGACGCACTATCAAATAAATTGATCTCCACATCACAACATACAGCAGATTCGCTGCGTAAAGCTATACAAGAGTTGGGGAGAAGAACGTCTCACATGGAGGCTAAGTGCGATGAATTTGCTACAGCTCATAATGACTTTGCAACTCAACTAATGTGGAACAAATGGCAGCAAAATTAGAGCACATGGAATCCAAGATGGTGGATTCTGAGGACAGAGCGAGACAGAACAATATTAGGATGCGAGGACCTACCAGCATACGGAAGAGGCCTACTACATGCATATGCACCGGAGGTTCCTGTGGATATGCTATTGGTTGACAGAATTCATCACATACCAAAGCCACATAAAGCAACACATCCTACGAGCCAGTAGGAATAAGGTGAAGCCACACAAAGATTACCCAACTGTGACAAACTTCAATGATCTGTCAGCAGCCACCCTACACCAACGAAAAGATTTACTCCTTAATCGTGGAAGCCATACGAGTGCACGACCTGTGGTACAGATGGGACTTTCCCAAAAAACCTCTGATCACGAAAGAGGGTGGTATGAAAACCATACTTACGCCTGAAGACGGCCTACAGAAATTGAAATCATGGGGACTCCCGCCGCCACCTGTGGAACGAGAGATCCAGATGAGGGCGAAACTCTCACAGATTGGACCACGGTCTCGAAAAAACAAGACCATGCAAAGGACTCTTGAGGGCTTAAGCAAGTATTCTGCACATATACACGACCGAATATGCTGATAGATCCACATCATAAAAACTTAATTTTATATAGTTGTTTGCTAACTTTGGTTAACACAAGTTGAGTAGAGAGCTTAATACACGTGAGTATGTAGTGCTCCAGGCTTTATGTTTTGAAGTCGTTAATATAAGTTATATATGGTTGTTTATTTCTCATGCATATGTTATATAGGTCCACAGGGGGGATATGTGATAGCGAGCACAGCACATTGGCATTTGAATATGAGGACCTCCCTATGTAACTAAAGGACAAGGAGCACCTTCCTATGACACAAATGGTGAAGCGGGCAGCTCATAGGCTTATTCCGGGGATGCTGAATTGCGGGCTTTACAGTAAGGGATGTGGGAGGGGGTGGGTGTCTGAGTCTGCATAAGCACACCTGCTGGGAACACAGCATGATGAGGGGTGACAACGTTAATTAAGATCACGTAACTGTATAACATCATGGACTACACGTAGACACATAGACTTCATTGACCCCAGATACTGCTGGAGAACACGCGGCATGACGTTCCAAGAGGAAATGATGTGTTACCACACTATGCTTCTCATCCCACGATGAGTTACACCGAAAATATTCTTATTTGATGCACTTATACACGGCACCCAACCACCAGGTTCCTGTATTGCCCTGAAAGCATATGGGAATTTGCCAATGTTAAGACATCTGCCCAATGGCCACACAGATGGAGAACATCCATATCTCCTACCCCCACAGTATGGAAAGACCGTACGATATCTCCATTGGAGACAACTAGTATATAATTTCTTTAAACAGCTCAAATTCTACTCCCATCGGATATAACCCAACAACGAATTGACAACACAAAAGTCAAACTAAACGAGATACACATTCAGCATACTACACTCAAAAATTGAAAATGAAAGCATACACAAAAGGAAACAGGGTGGGAAAAGCCTTGGCAACACTGAGACACAAGCAACAACGATCTAAAATACCTTTCCTGCTCAATGACAAAGGGAACAAACTTTACAATCCTCAAATCCTTAATGACACCATGGCACAGTATTATAATAGCCATTATAATCTCAAGGAGGATAAACACACCCACCAACCCACCCAATCAGACATAGAGAGCTTCCTAGCCAAACTTACACTACCTGTAGTATCACCGACACACAAGCAACAGATAGAGACACTGATTTCACAACATGAAATTCTACAGGCTATTCGTTCACTGCCATCAGGGAAATCACCGGGCCCGGGCAGGTTTACCAACCTTTACTACAAAACCTTTCAACAAATCTTAATCCCAAGATTAGAAAGGGTGTACAAACACATACTGCAAACAGGTCTCATGCCAAAAGAAATGATGATGGCCCACATAGCAAAACTGCCTAAACCAGGTAAACTCCCCCCGCAAGTGCCAAAACCTGCGGCCGATCTCCTTGTTAAACACGGATATCAAGCTCAAAGCAAAACTATATGCCACAAGACTAGGCACTGTTATACCAACGTTAATAAGGGAAGATCAGGTGGGGTTTATTAAATGACGACAGGGGGCAGACAGTACAAGAAAAATGGTAAACCTCATGCACATACTACAGAGAACGGGAAAGCCCAGTGTACTTCTCTCATGAAAAAGCTTTTGATAGGCTACACTGGGACTTTCTTGCATCAGTTTTATGGAAGTTTGTATTTCCAGAAAGATTTTTACCCTCTCAGCATTGTACACAGAACCAAGAGTGCGAGTAGTCAATGGGGGATTCACCTCATGTCCATTCTCAATCTCCAATGGTACCAGACAAGGTTGCTCTCTGTCATCCATTCTATATATACGAGCTCTGGAGCCTCTTACACAACTCATAAGTACAACCGACACCATACAAGGAGTAAAAGTGGGGGACAGGAAATATAAGGTGATGTTATTCGCAGACGACGTGATGGTATCACTTACTAGCCCATAAACCTTCCTGCCGCATCTGCAGGAAGTCCTACAACAATACAGCCTGTGCTCCTATTATAAACTAAAAGTAAACAAAACGCAGGCCATGGGCCTATACATACTGAAACATATGCTTAAAAAAACTATAAGATACATACGCCTTCGACTGGAGGAAGGACCATATCATCTTTTTAGGAATAGCCTTCACTGCATCTAGAAATACTCAGCCAGTTATGTAAAACTATTCAAATTTATCAAAATGAAAATTCTAAGTTGGAAAGGTTTCATGGTCAGGCAGGATGGCGGCAGTGAAAATGTTGCTCTTGCCAAAACTGCAATACATGTTTCGCACACTACATATCCGGATCCCAAAACAATACCTCAAACAAGCACAATCTGTCATAAATAGTTATATTTGGAATAGGAAAAAACCTCGGGTAGTGGCAGAAACACTGAATAGACCCTTCCACAAGGGAGGAATGGGTATGCTGAACCTAGATTAGAAGAGAAAAGAAAAGGGCTGATACACACAGTAACAATAAACATGTGAAAATGTGAGATCTGTCCTAGAAGACACCTACCACAGAGCTACTCTATCTACAAGTGAAATAATGTAGATAGAGGAGACCTTTGAAACAAGGGGATCCCAAATAGTAGCTCTGAGAACACAGAAGAAGACAATAACCAGATAGAATCAGGGAACGTGGAGGGAGGCAGTAATTAGTAGCACAGTTACACCAGGAGATTGGGGTAGGAAACCCCAACAGGCGTCCCAGTGTAGATAGTAGGGTATATATATAAAAAACTCCCTATGCCTGTAATGACTCAGATATGACAGAATTAATCTTGCTGCCCACAAGGAAAAAAGGCTCCCACACAAGCGAAAAAAATAAAATAGTAGCCAGCCTGTCAATAATGTAGAGTCGTCCAGGGTAGATAAACCTAACTTGAAGTGCCAATACCCTATGTCAGGTTAAATAAAGATGCTGAATACAACCACCAACTTATAAGAACATAAGTGCTGACTAGGTGCTACCTAGTGGAAAAAATAAATAAAAGTGAGAAACGCTCGACGCGTGTTTCGGCGTATCTACACGCCGTCATCAGGAGCTACTAAGTGTGCAAGCACCAAGAACCGGTAAATATACATCAATGAGGGAATCACTCACAGCTGATCCGGCATACAGCCTCTCCTGGAGGAAGATGAAGAATGACATAATCCGTCACGCCTCCTTCCAGCATCATGTCGTGCGACCCGTTCCCATTGGGTTGTCGCAGGGTCAGTCATTGCAGGGGGATAGTTGATCACGCCCCCTCACAGCATCATATTGTACTCCCACTACAGTTAATTGCTGGGGATTTTGACGCGGGAGGGGGGAAGGATCAAAGTTAAAACCTTTGTATTGCCACTGGGATCACCCGTGTAGATGGCATCAAAATATCACATTGTAACTAAGTGTAATAAATTTAAATCTAAAAACACTTAGAAGGATGAAAGGACATTTCGAACGTATTTTTCATGTCAAGTGAATGTGTCGATACCAAGAGTGTACTGACGTGAAAATCCATACTAGTGGTCTCTAAAGGAATTTAAGTCCCACTACATAATGAACCAAAAAGATCAGTAGGGCTATAATTGGGAAATTAAATCAAAAGATCCCAATGTATCGATTCACTGACTTGAGCATCAATATGGGAATGCCCTTAAGTGATTAGTATAATGATGCTCACTATTGGGTACTGGATTGAATATGAATGCTGGATGATCGTGGGCATGGTCAGCTATGGGATGTGTATAGATAATAACCGGTTGTATCTATATGGGCTATTTAGTAAAAAGCAATAAAAATAAAAAAAACTTTATTTATTTACATATAGGATATTTACAGACAACAGAATCAAGAAACAAGGAAAGTGGATTTGTAGCATCTATATTCTGTGGTTGTAAACTACATACACTCAATAGTCTATAGAAATGATGAGAAGAAAAATCCTTTGTTTAGTCCCTGTGGTGAAAGTGTTTTTAGTTTATAGGTCCAGTATGATTCTCTTTGCCTTAATTTGCAGTCCCAGTCCCACGCCTTTTCAGTGGGTTTGAGGTATGAGTTCTATACCCATATCTTGTTGGCCGAATTGGCATGATATGTCTTGAGGTGCCTTGAGATGGGAGTTTCCAGTCACCTTCTAACTGAATTAACGTGTTCTCTGATACGGAATTTCAAGGGACGAAATGTCTTTCCGATATATTTAATTCCGCAAGAGAATATTAGAAGGTATAGTACTCCCTCTGTGCGGCAATTGAAAAAAGACTGTACAGAGTGAGATTCTTGGTTCTTACTATCTGAGAAGTCCTTAGTTTCCTTAGCTGTGTAAGAGCAGGCACTACAGTGGCAACATTTGTATGTGCCTTTTGGGAGCTACTGGAGGGGCCAAAATGACTGGGTACCAGTAGGTCTTTGAGGTTTTTGCCTCTTCGTGCCGTAACAGATGGAAATGGTGGAATAGCTGACTTAATATGGACATTAGATGTCAGATGTATACTGAACCTACTACACTATTACATCCTGTTCCAAATTATTATGCAAATTATATTTTTATCATTTACCTAAATAATTGATGTAAATAACAGTCAGCATAATTCTCATGTTATCAACTATTAAGAGTACAATTCAAATTTTATTGAACAAACCTCGTAATGATAACAGTATGTTTTTTTAAACATAAAAAACTTACAATGCACTGTTCCAAATTATTACGCACAGTAAGTTTCAAAACACTTTATAGGTTGTAAAGAAATTAAAATTGTCATTTGTTGTGTTTGCAGCATATTTACTGAAATCAAAAGCTATTTCAATCAAACTTATAACATTTTAACTTTTTAAACATTTTAACAGGTCACGTTATAACATAGTTTAACATAGGACCTCTTATTTGATAGCCGCTCCACAAGTCTTGCATCCATTGAACTTGTGAGTTTTTGGACCATTTCTGCTTGAATTTGTTTGCAAGATGTCAGAATAGCCTCCTGGAGCTGCTGTTTGGATGTAAACTGCCTCCCACCCTCATAGATCTTTTGCTTGAGGATGCTCCAAAGTTTCTCAATAGGATTGAAGTCAGGGGAGGATGGAGGCCACACCATGACTTTCTCTCCTTTTATCCCCATATCAGCCATTGATGCAGAGGTATTCTTTGCAGCATGAGATGGTGCATTGTCATGCATGAAGATGATTTTATTACGGAAAGCACAGTTCTTCCTTCTGTACCAGGGAAGAAAGTGGTCAGTCAGAAACTCCACATACTTTGCAGAGGTCATCTTTACACCTTCGGGGACCCTAAAGGGGCCGACCAGCTCTCTTCCCATGATTCCGGCCCAAACATGACTCCACCACCACCATGCTGACGTCGCAGCCTTGTTGGAACAGGGTGGCCATCCACCAACCATCCACCACTCCATCCATCTGGACCATCCAGGGTTGCACGGCACTCATCAGTGAACAGGACTGTTTGAAAGTTAGTCTTCATTTATTTTTCTGCCCAATGCAGCCATTTCTGCTTGTGAGCATTGGTTAGTGGTGGCCGAATAGAAGGTTTATGCACAGTTGCAAGACTCTGGAGGACTATACACCTTGATGTCCGTGGGACTCCAGAGGCACAATCAGCTTCAAATATCTGTTTGCTGCTATGTAACCGTATTTTAGCAGCTGCTCTCTTGATCCGATGCATGGATCTGGCAGAAATCTTCCTCAATGTGCCTTTATCTGCACGAACCCGTCTGTGCTCTGAATCAGCCACAAATCTCTTAATAGTGCGATGATCATGCTTAAGTTTTCTTGAAATATCTAATGTTTTCATACCTCGTCCAAGGCATTGAACTATTTCACTCTTTTTGGCAGCAGAGAGATCCTTTTTCTTCCCCATATTGCATGAAAGGGGTGCTCTGCTTAATAATGTGGAACACCCTCCTTTAGTAGTTTTTCCTTAAATTGGGCTCATCTGGCAATCTAATTATCACAGGTGTCCGAGATTGTTTTCAGTGATCAATAGAGCCCTGAGACACAATGCCATCCATAAGTTAAACTGAAAAACAAAATATTTAATCTTTGTGACACTTAAATAGAACTTGCATAATAATTTGGAACAGGGTGTACACCGCAGCACTAGCGGGAATTATACTAGCGGCTTCTAACCACGTGGAACTACCTGCTTGGAGCTACATGTAAAAAACACACACATGGAAAGCATACAGATAACCCCTTTGGCTTGGATACCCAAACCATTTAGACCACTATACAAGAACATATTCCCCACAACAGCAATCACATTAGAAGCATGGGACAATTACAAAAAAATCACACCCACTGGAGGCCTATGTATCCCTAGCCATGCCATTGCAAGTGTTCAGGGAGCTTATACCAGGTTTTGAACACAGGGTATGGTACACACATCAAATCACACACTTCTCCCAGATCATGATAAATGGACAGGTATTAGAATTTAACTCCCTTCCATTATTATATAATCTCCCTCCAGGGACAATATTTTCATACATGTAGATGAGGTCTTGACTCAGAAAAACATTACACTCAAATGACATCGCATGTAAATGGACAACAGCTGGCGGAGGTGGAAAAAATCTGCTTAAAGCAGAATCCACCCAAAAAACTAATATCACTACTGTACAACTCAGCAGTGAACTACAGAACTAAAGATAACCCTAGCTTTGTGTTGGCTTGGGAGAAAGAACTCAAACATAATATAGACAAGGTGGAGTGACCAAAACTTTACTTAGCGCATAAACAGCTTACACCGTGTACCTCACATATCGAATTATCTAGAAAAATCCATTACTGATGGTACATGGTTCCACTAAGGTTAAAATATGTGGACCCCACCAACTTGGGGAAATGCTGGAGATGTCAAAAGTACCAAGGCACCATGTTACATATATGGTGGTCGTGTCCAGCCCCTTCGGATTACTGGCGAAACATCTCATATTTAATAAAGCAATGCACGGGTCTTCGGCTCCCTCACGAGTCCGAAACATACTTACTACTTTTGGCTGCAAATCAATGCACCAACCATATCCTTATGTATTGAAACTATAGCCAGAGCTGCCCATAACTTTGTAAGATGTAAAAACACAAAAGAAAGGAACAATTTAGGCTACATCATACTAAGCATATACAGTAGGCAAAACCTTTTACAGTAAAAAAAGAAAGAGTTAGGAATTAATAATCTTTCTAAAGAAAAAAAAAATCCATGATTACAAAATACAAATAACTGTAATTTTCCCTAGTCAAGTACTCAGTTTGAGATTTGATTTTTTTAAGCCAGTTACATAATAATAGGTTCCCCTTAGCATTTCCTGAATAAGAGACATGTTTTGGAGCTAAGATTCCATTTTTAGCCATTCAAGACTTGCATCCCATTTCTCTATCTCAAATAAAAGAACCTCAAATGAATGTAAACAGCTTTACTGATGTTACCCCACTTGTTTGATTTATATGCTCATATGCCCTTTGTGACTTGGTCTATTTAAGATATGCCCACTTTAAAGAGCCCCTGAGAAATATCTGGGAACATGCCTCCTGACATTGGGGGATATATAAAAAATAAAAAAGTATCAGAAGGGGCAATAATGTAGACTGGTTTTGCTAGTCGCCAAGTGCACAGCACTTGTTATATTTTACAGGGGGAATACCCAGAATAGGGGCATGAAAGTCATCCAGGGCTTTCCATGTGCAGAATTCATACATAAACAGATTTGTCTTGCTATGGCCTTGTATTATAACAAGCTCATTTAGTGATTTGAAAAAGCTGTGGTTTAGAAACAATTAATTAATTACTGTATCAATTACAAAAGTATCTAATTCTTTCAATAATGAGCACATCTATATTAACTTGTAATGAATGGCCCATTGTTTGCTAACCATAAATAAATAAAAAGCAGAGAAAAAATCCAGTAAGTATTCTGGGTAAAATATCCTCTTGAATATTTAATAAAATAAAAATTCACATTAAATAGAATGGGGACACATAGATTTCAGTATATCTGTCTCTATCATAGTGGGAAATATAAAAATGATTCTCTCTGGCTGTTACACTATGCCCCATCTCTCTCTCTGGCTGTTACACTATGCCACATCCCCCTCTCTGTGGCTGTTACACTATGCCACATCTTTCTCTCGCTCTCTCTCTGGCTGTTACACTATGCCACATCCCCCTCTCTGTGGCTGTTACACTATGCCACATTTCTCTCTCTGGCTGTTACACTATGCCCTATCTCTCTCTCTCTCTGGCTGTTACACTATGCCCCATCTCTCTCTCTCTCTCTGGCTGTTACACTATGCCACATCTCTCTCTCTCTGGCTGTTACACTATGCCCATCTCTCTCTCTCTGGCTGTTTACCCATCTCTCTCTCTCTCTCTGGCTGTTACTATGCCCTATCTCTCTCTCTGGCTGTTCATCTCTCTCTCTCTCTACTATGCCTCTCTCTCTCTCTCTCTCTGGCTGTTAGACTATGCCCTCTCTCTCTCTCTCTCTCTGGCTGTTACACTATGCCCAATCTCTCTCTCTCTCTCTCTCTGGCTGTTACACTATGCCCAATATCTCTCTCTCTCTGGCTGTTACACTATGCCCCACCTCTCTCTCTCTCTGGCTGTTACACTATGCCCTATCTCTCTCTGTGGCTGTTACACTATGCCCCATATCTCTCTCTCTCTCCTCAACTCTCTGTGGCTGTTGTTGGTCCCCCTCTCACTTCTTCTCTATGTTCTAAATTATCTCCTTGGTTATTACTGGTTTGCATCCTTTTCATTTCATGCATGCGATTGTGTGTCTCTTCGATTTCCTTACTGTGGCTGTGTGAGTCCCATCTCCATTACTGTTACTGTGAGTGCACATCTTTAACTCTGTCCCTGACAATTACTGGGTTTGTTGCTCTCAATGGCTGTCAAATTGGTGTCTCTATCTCTGCCTGGCCCTGCAGTAAGCTTCCTTTCTCTGTGTTACTACGTTTGTGACTGTGCTTTTCCTTCTCATTGCCTTTTATTGTTTGTGTCTCCTTTTCTTCTTCAATGTGAGTGCTCAGTGAGTGAGTGACTGCCTGTGACTTTGTGTTCCCCTTTTCCTGCTTTTTATTCCTCTTGACTGTGACTGTATGTGCCCCTTTCTCTGATTGTGACTTTGAAGCCCCTTTCTCCGTAGTTGTTATGGTGTGCGCCCATGTATCCATAGTTATTACTGTGTGTGTCCCTTCCTCCATTATTGCTTTATTGGGCACCCCTTTCTCTGTGGTTGTTAAAATGTGCTCCTGTTCCTCCATGGTTGTTATGGTGTGCGTCTCTTTCTCCATGGTTGTTATGGTGTGCATTCTTTCTCCACGATTGTTATTCTGTGTGCTCCTTTCTTTGTGGTTGTTATGGTGTGCGTCTCTTTCTCCATGGTGGTTATGGTGTTCACCCTTTCTCCATAATTGTTCATTTGTGCACCCCTTTGACCATGGTTGTTATGGTATGCGCCCCTTTCTCCATGGTTGTATAATAAATAACAAACAGAAAATATCCTCTTGAACATTTAATAAAATAAAAAAAATATTCACATTAAATACAATGTGGACATATAGATTTCCAAATGTCTTTCTCCATTGTAGTGGGGAATATGTTCCCACTCCATGGTTGTTATGGTGTTCACCCTTTCTCCATAATTGCTAATGTGTGCACCTATTTCTCCATGGCTGTTATTGTGTGGGCCGCTTTCTCCATGGCTGTTATTGTGTGGGCCCCGTTCCCTATGGCTGTTATTGTGTGGGCCCCTTTCTCCATGGCTGTTATTGTGTGGGTCCCTTTCTCCATTGCTGTTACTGTGTGGGTCCCTTTTTCTTCAGGTCTGTGACTATGTTGCCTTGCTGATACTTTGGACCACATTCTAATATCTCAGACAGATCTCTGTTAAGATGTCATGTAAACCTGTATCAACATGTGATACCGGCAGTCATGTGGAATAACAATAGGAAGACTAACTATAGAAAAACTAATAATGGGCCTTTTCTTCTACAACAGGAACAGGGTGTCTGGTCCCTGACTTTGGATCAAGACCTGATCTTGCTATTGTGTCTGTCCCTTCTCCATGCCACCAGCACCTCCAGGAGTTCCAGGTGCAACCTGGTACCTTATGACTACTCGCCTAGCAGCCTGAGCTTCTCTAGTGATATCGTCCAACCATCAACCAGATACTGGATAAAGTGATGAATAGTTCTTATCACCTTGTACCCAAACATAGGCAAGACTGAGAGTAGGGACAAGACAATACTAGTGTATTGAACAATAGGCAGTATTCAGTCACAACATTACAGACACAAGTGATCAGTCACAACAATAAAACTACCTGTTTAAAATTGTGTAGTTTCCCATGTGATGCCAAAACAGCTCTGATACACTAAGGCATGCACTCTACAAAACCTGGCTAGCTTTCCTTCCCCATGTGCATTAATGAGCCTTGTGTGCCTATCACCCTGATGCCAGTTCACAGGCTGTTCTTCACCACTTTTAGTAGGTACTAACCAATGCATACCAGGAACACTCCACAAGACTTGCCATTTTGGAGATGCATTGACCCAGTCTTCTAGCCATCACTATATGGCTCTTATCAAAGTCCCTCAGATATTTTTGCATGCCCATTTTTCCTGCTTCCAACACATGAACTGCAAGAACTGACTATTTACTTGTTGAATAATATAAATCACCCCTTGACAGGTGCCATTGCAATGATATAATCAATGTTATTCACTTCACCTATCAGTGGTTTAAATGTTGCGGCTGATCAACATATACAGTACAAAGTGTTATATTAAGGCGTCACAAAAATGTCAAACACAGATTGCAGTGACACAGTAGGAACTAATCAGACTGCTGGGCATGTACCCACCTATGGTGCCTGTATGTCTGGGCTAAGCTGAACAAATGGCTCAGGGAACAAATCCCTATGTGTATACTAGAGGGGAGCTCTCCATAGAGGAATCCCCTAAATTTAAGGACACTACTAGATAGATTATTCCCTTAGCTACATATGCTATAAATAACAACTATTTTGGTCACCAGGAGTCAGAGCAACATTCCTTGGAATTTTAGCAAGTCTGTGACATACTTGGTTGAGTTTGGTGCTTTGTGGCTGGGCAGTTCTATCTGCAGAGCCTCAGTAAAGCTCTGGGAAGTATACTGATATGTACCACGAGGCCCTGAAGGGAAAGAGTACTCACAGTTAGCTACACTGACCATGGTTTCTTGGTCAGAAAAAATGTGATTGGGTACGGCATTTTAAATGTTAAAACCAGACCACAATTAATTCTTTCAGTCCTGCTACGTCAAACACAGTACTATTTTAGAAACTGCACCAGTCCAGACAATGTTAACTCTTTGTTGTCGACATTGGTTTGTGATATACAATATTAACCCTTTGTTGTCCACGTGGGTTTGTAATCCATAGAGTTAAACCTCAAAGTCCCAATCTCCAATTGGTGGTTGTCCTTAATGATTAACCTGTTAAATGCACATGCTTAAGTGTTTGCACTGAGATGCTCTGGATGGTTTAACCTTTCAGGGATGTTGGGTGATTTCCATCACTATGGGTTCATAGACCGCAAGCCTCTCCGCAATGTTCCATGGGAAAATATTTGCCGTCAATATGCATTGGCTTTGGTTCTTGAATTGGTTGCTGTGAAGTTGAAAATGTTACTCAATGAGACTTGTTGCAGTGCAAGTTAATAATGAGAAGTAGCTGTGTGTGATCGGAGAACTTATAAAGGGCTCCTGAAATACATCAACCAGTTACCACTGTGGTAACCGAAAGAGGAAGCAAAAAACCTCTTGTAATTTCCTATAATGTTACTACCTCATCACCAGTTCTGTGTGGGGGGAGGAAGAATTGTGTATATCAGCTGTATGGAAAAAAAAAATAACTAGATTGCTGCAGTTACTTGAAATGATCCACGAAAAAGTGTCAAATACAAACACTCAATATTTCATATTACATACTTTTATATATTTCACTTTTTCAATGGTAGAAGTAATGTTGAGAGGGCTCTGGTGCAAAAAAAGTTTGTTGGACTCCCCTATAGAGCAGGGGTGTCCAAAAGGTAGATTTTAATTGTCATAAAACTCCGAGCTATTTTGGATGCATGAAAAGGACCCATATGATATTGGGCAGTTGGTTTTATTGTTATGGTTTTGAATGTGTAGTTTTGGAGTTTGAATGCTGGGGGTATGTGTTTTGCAGTGCTAGCGTTGGAATGCAGGGGAGCAGGGGTGTTTGCGTGTAGTGATGATGTTTGCATGCAAGTCTGTTTTTATGTACAGTGTTGGTGCTTGAATGCAAGGACGGGTTTCTTTTAATGTTGATGTTTGAATGCTAAGGTGTGTTTGTGTGAAGTTTAAACGTTTGAATGTAGGAGTGAGTTTGTGAGTATTGTCAGTGTTTGAATGCAGGTGCATTTGTGTGTAGTGTACAGATACGTGTTCACATATACACATACATTGCCATATACACATACAGATGTACATTGCCACACAAAAATATACACATAAATATAAATAGGCGTGTTCAGCACATTACATTAGCGTGTGCACCCAGATGGGCGAGGGCTGGGCGATCATGTCTGTGATGCAGCTTGCTTCACTGGTGATGGCCCGCATAGGTGAAAGGCTCATCGACAGAAAGGGCGTGTCAACACAAACGCACATCAGTGCTTCTGAAGTATCCTTTGTTTGGCCCTAGAGCCCTCAGCATAGTGCAAGAGCCTCTAATTATGCTGGTTCAAGAAGGTAGCCTGGTGTCTTGGCGGTGTGTGATGTATGGGTAGCTGTGAGTGACGTGTGTGTCTGTGTGAGTATATGTGGGTGATATGAACAGCAGTGCAGTAGAGAGAAAATCTCTTTTGTAAAATGTTCTCTAGTAGATGATAGGCGATGGGCAAGGGCACTCCTATCCTAAAATCAGAATTACACATTGGTCTATGGCAGAGAACACTTCTCACGGGCACTCCTATTTGACCTGAATAGGAGTGATATGTGGAGTGTGACAGTGGTCACCATCACTGGGGGCTGAGGATGGACACTCTATGTAAGCGAATACGTTATTTTTATGTCTTAGTCAACCTGTGGCCATTATAGATGCAGGGTGTGTAAAATGTATTGTTTATTGTTAAATGTTTTGTGTGCTCTCCTATCCTGCTAATGCTTTCTACTAACTATGTTGATTTGACTGTAGAACCTATACAGTGCCATCTGTTGGTTGTGAATATATTGCAACAGTTATATGCTGTTCCACCTGTTAGGTGCAATAGTTAAGTATAGTGCCCCCTGTTGGTTGGAACTGTATGTGCACTACTTGACTGTAATTTTTATATTCACGTAAATCTACATATTATGGTTTTTGCAAGTAATAGAGATATTTTGTGCTAATTATTGTTTTCCCCACCCATTTTATAAATATGTTATGGTGTTTTTGTGAGTTGCTGTGTCTTTCTCCATATGATTTGATTATTTGTATTTTATTGAGTTGTCATTGTGAGTTAAATGTCATGTGCATATGGGCTAGTCCTGTGTGTGCTAGTACATTTAGGAAGTGCGTGTCCTGTGTGGATTTGGTCAGGGATCCCAGTAACAGTCTTCAGACCTGTTGGCTGGCTCCATGGTCCCTGTATCACAGGATAATTCAAAAAGCTTGAGTGCCTTTATAAAGGTAGGAGCTAATTATCTTACAGGCAGAGTTGTGGATACCTGCCGGGAAGAAGAGCTGTAGAGGAATAGGCAGAGGTGATGGTACCTGCCTGGAAGGAGAGAGATACAGCCTGTTTAGGTGGAAGAGCTCTGTAGAGACCCAGCCAAAATTCAGTGATTAAGGTTGAAGCATTCCAGGACATGTGGGAGAATGACAAAGGGATACTGGTGTGTGAGAGTGAGGTGTAGGTGGGAGTAAGGAAGGAACAGGTGGAAGTGATGGAGGGTGGATTGTAGTGATATGAGGTTGGTGGAAGCAATGGGTTGTGAGGGAGGGTGGGTAGGTGAGAGTGATGGGAAAATGAGATGAGAGTGGGGCATGAATGGGAGAGGAAGAGCAGAGAGGGATTTGAGATGCAAGACAGAGCTCCACATACCTGCACAAATGAACACATACATATTCACAAACACTCACCCATATGTACACAGCACACACATATCTTGACTGTCTTTTCTGGGTCCCGTGAGCCTCGCTGCATCTAGACCTCTATTTTGGCAGCAGAACATCCATTGGTGTTGGTGTGACTGGGAAAGGCCCCATGAGGCCTCTGGGAGCACATGACATCAGCAGGGTCTTGAT